ACCTCTCTCAGTCAGTTCGAAAACTACTGTGTCACCCGACTGGAATTGACCAACACCAATGTGAGTACGAAATTAGATTAGGTTTTAATTAAGATTTCTTCTTTCCTGGTGGTGCTTTAGGAGACTGATTAGATTTTGAAGTGAAATCATTTTTTAAAGTTTATGTTATATTTTAACTATAAATAGGTAATAAATGTATTATGTATGTATGTATTAAGCGTAATCATATCGAATGTACGAGTATTATCACATGATAATATTTATTCATAAAATAATTAAAGTTAATAAACAAAACAATTATAGGTACTCAACTATAAAATATTGAATTCAATAAAATATCTTGTGTACGGCTAATATAATGGCTCTTGCAGTATTTTAAATATTATTTTATTATCACTTTTATCCACAATTATTATCAGATATATACTCCATTTATTTATTACCAGCATAAAATAAATCAACTGTGAAATATTTTTGCGCGTCAATTATGTAATTGAAAATGTATACTTTGTTTGCGTTTATTAAATTTTCTGTTGGCGGTAGCTATTGGTACTTGTAGTACCATGCGTGTACCTATACTAACTGAACTTGCGATCTATACCCGTATTTATTTTATAAGTTTATAACGAAGATTAGATCGATTAATCAAGTTTGCACGTGCTGTGTCTTATTGCAACCGGTGCATGCTATCGATCAGTCCCATGTCGTACAGCTGTCAAAAGATTAGTAGATCAATTGTACGCCCCCGGGTATCAAACCTGTCCGTAAAGCGTTCATTCGCGACGATCAATAGGCTGCTGCCTGCTAGGATGTTACCCGATTGTGCCCGAAAAGCTCATGCATTGTACCTACAGTGAAATATTGGCCGAAGATCCAAGATAACATGTAATAAATAATATTATGCTGGTATATAACTACAAAGAATTATAAAATGACAAAATACAACATAGCACATTTTACACATAAAAAACATATTTCGAGTGGCGAGAATAGTATCTATTAGTGATACACAACGATGTACTATCGATACACTTTACTGTGATTCTTTCTGTGAGAATTTAATTTTACCTCTACAATTGTAAATAAAAATCATATTGATATTTTTTTAAATATGTAACATAAATATAATTTTATCTAGTAATTTTGAAAGAATCAGAAAAGTTATTTAGAATAATTTAAATTGACAATATTAATTAACTGTTTTAATGTCATTTTTTCTAAAGAAAAATGCCAAATTTGTTCTTCCTTAAAAAAATCAAATAAATTGTTTACTTACGTTATTTTTCTTTTTAAAAACACTTAAAAATTGTATTATAAAATGTATAAGTATATTATAGTTTGTTTAATGAGAACCACGTAAACAAATATAATTAGCTATTAACTATTAGTTAAAATTTAGTACGTAAAACGTGTAAGGATATTTACGAAATTATGATAGGACGACATCGAAGGTATTTTTTGACCAATCAATTATCATCGGAAAAATTTTATATTATAATATAATTTATTAGAATTCGTTTACATGATTTATCTTATTCTTTATTCAGACCAACGAGGTCAGGCAAGTGTCTCATTTCCGTTTCAACTCGTGGCCGGATTTCGGCGTGCCACACAGTGCTGTCGCTATGTTGGATTTCCTTGGTAAAGTCCGGAAATGTCAATCGTCCATGTTACAAGACCTTGGTGACAAATGGGCCGGACACCAGCGGGGGCCTCCGATAGTCGTCCACTGTTCGGCGGGCATCGGACGAACAGGTAAGCGAAAAAAATGATAGGAAAAATAACACGGCGTCAAACTTACCTTACATTCGTATCTACTTATTAAATCTCACACGCCGCGGTCTTTCAACGTTATTTTTCGTTTGTCCAACAGGAACTTTCTGCACGTTGGACGTTTGCATCAACCGTCTGGAAGAGACCAGCTCTGTGGACATCAAAGGCGTGGTGGAAAAGATTCGGTCGCAGAGAGCTTATTCCATCCAAACGCCCGAGCAGTACGTGTTTTGTCACTTGGCGCTGATCGAATACGCGTCGGCCAGAGGGTTCCTCAGCTCGCCTCCGGACCTCAGCGACTTGAAACCCCTCGAAGATTCGGACTGATCGACGACAACAATGGAAATCTCATCAGTCGGGCAAAGCATTTATCAATATACTTCTATGGAAATTAAATATTTATATGTATATATACATATATATACATATATAAAATATATGTTTTGTATAAAAAAGTATACACATATAATGAATTATGTGTGAGCATACTTACGTTATACGTGTAGATAATCAGAAGCGGGATGAGCGCGCCCAATTATATACATATATTATGTCATAATATATGATCTGTTGCTATCGTTTTCTGACATTATACTTTTGTATTTTTTTTTTTTTTTTGTTTTTCGTAATTATACTATTTATATGTTTAACAATATCATATATTAATCTGAAACAGATCTAATTAATTCTTATCGATCTAAGAGTTCATATTTTTTAATTAAAATATTATTTTTCTCTATTTCGTTTTCACAGTGGCTGTTGGAACGTTTGTGTTTGTTCTCCGCCCTCGACCACCTAAAAGTCGTGCAGTACATTACATACTGTTTTATCATGTAATTGAAAATGTTCTGTGATCATACGCCTTTTGCCCGATACATAATATTAACCAACTTGTCGTCGAAAACCATTTATTATAATTTATTTTTGCATACATAATACTATTATTATTATTATTATTATTATTATTATATTGATCAACGATAATTTACACATATTTTTCAAAAATCCCAATGCAAAATATGCATGTGGAATTGTACAAATGGCTTTGTTATAACAATATTATTGTGAACAAACTATCAATTTTTTTGCTGACCATTCCATGTATCCAACTTTTTTAAATATAACCCCAAATCTGAGATAAATATATATATATATTTAATGTGATAATTATTTTTGTCAATCGCAATGTGGTAGGATAAGATAATAAAACGAATCATTGTGCCACTCGTATTTCATAATATTGTGATGCCCAAAATGAATTTTTTTTTATTACAATCTATATATTATATTATTTAAACTTTTGGTTGTAACTCTTGTAACATAATTAAAACCAGGCATGTGAATTAATAAAATTACATGGACAAACACTGATAAATGTCTGATTAATTACTATTTAAACTAATCGAAACTATATGTAATAATATATTAATAATAAAGTCGAATGAATTATTTAGTTACCATTGTGGTCGTATAATAAAATTATAATAATATTTACAAAACAGCAGTTTGTTGTGTTGAATTATATACCTAGATGTTAATTATACATGTCATTATAACTTTACTTAAAAAATTTCCTAAAAATTTAATTGAGATTTATGTACAATTTGGATTATAAACAAAAAGTCTTTACGGTTTTAAGCGCACAGTCGTTCTGAAAAAAATTAAAACCATGTTAACAGAAATAAATTAAAACGAACTTGTCTGTATAAAATGACGGTAATTGATAAGTAAATATTTTATTTAACAGTCAAATGAGAATTATTAAAAAAAAAATAAAAAATACACATCATTAAAAAAATCTAATTTTGACACTAAAACTGCGACAACAATGTGTTATTTCCTATATAGATACATCGATAAATTGATTTGTTGTCATTTAAATGACATGTATAAAAAAACACACGAAAATCCTATGATTTACTGCTGTCACGGAAAGAATTATGGTGGATACGTTCTATACGTGGAAATGAAAAACAAATCATACCCCCTCTATGTCTGACATGTCTGAGCGATCTAGACATTGATTAGAGTTTATAATAAAAGTGCGATGGTCATTAAACACGATAAATATAATAAATAAATCAATCATCAATATTAGTCTATAAATTTTTTAGCATTATTTGTCGTATCGTACGTCAAGGTCAATTTGATAAATAACGCGTTGTTCGTGTGGACATTGTTTTTAATCTTTTAATCGAAAATATAATAATTATAAAACTTCTAAGTGTAACGAATATACGTCGTAATGAATACACACTTAGTCATTCAATTTTTAGACACAGCCGAAGTACCTACCAGTTTATTCTTCACTGACCAAACTATTCATTCTCGATATAGGGTAGTATTTTATGTATAATCGACGCCTAAGAAATATTTGTTAATTTCGTATTAATTTCTCCAAATTTGAAAGTTAACAAGATCGTTTTGAACTTCTAAACCATTATTATTAGTTATTACTAATCTGCACAGAAACTGCGTATAACATGCAGCTGCAGTGGATTATCGTAATCTATTTTATTTTAAGTACTTACTTAATTTGTGATGTTAAATAAACAGTGAGCTTATTACGTCACATCCGTTCTACAGAGTATACTTAAAACGATATTGATAAATTGTATATAGTACCGAGTCGTCTTTATACGCAGTACAATTTATTTTACTTAAATAGTACGAAAATATATTAATTGAAATTCGATGGCTTAAGTGGTTAGAATGATACCTGCGAACGTTGTAACGAGGTGACCTAACACGTGTAGAAAAATATAAAATAACTAATTGGTAAAATAAAAATCTATAACTCAACGCAGCGGTATATTCAAATTTTTTTTTTTTTTTTTTGTAAGGGAGTGTCGAAATTATAAACAATAATTTGATTAGCCTTTCTTTGAAATTTCGAAAAAAATTATTACCAATATAATAAATCCACACTTGATCACATATCAAGCAAAATCGCTTGTGAAATCGTGTGATGTCAAATATTGAAAATATTGTCAAAAAAATTATATTTTGATGTAAATCCCTATTTACTGTATAAATTACAAATTTTAATTCCCCCCTGTAAACACGTGACTGTAGTGACGAGAAAGTACACAAGTGTACATGTATACTTAGGTACATATAAATACGGTAGGTATATCTATATTATACTTCTAACCTCTCTACTCGAGTTTTCAGTGTTTTTATAGAATATTGTTAAATAAATTGTATGATTGTGTAGTTCTATTTAGACGATTACTACTGTAGACGAAATTTCAAACTTTAGGTGTGCGCTCGATGTTTATCGGCCAGATCGTCGTTGAGGCTTGCGACGACTTGCTCGACTCTCCTAAGGTCGTGCCACGCGTCAACGATTTTTGCCCGGTGAGCGCCGGTTCGTACTTCTTTTGCACCGACCGGACGAACTCGATGACGTCCGCTAATAGCGTCTCTTGCAATGCCCGTTCCCGTTCGAAGACGACCGCATCGTCCTCGTGGTCCATCGATTTCGGCATGGCATCCGCGATTATCTTTCCTAAATTTTTCGCGAAATAATTCAAACCGGATGGTACATCGTTACCACCGATATTGGAACTGCGACCAGTACGTCCGCTTCCATTACTGCTGCTGACATTACTTGCACTGTCATTGGTATTGAAATGTTCACTGTCAGTGATGTCGACGTCTCCATTGTCGCTTATAACGACAATACCGCTCAAATCGATATTAGTCGCGCTGCCACTAATATTGACATGTTCACTGCTACCGATAGAGCCGTCACCGCTAACGTTGCTACCTTCCTTCGACTTCGGAGGATTTGGCCCCGAGTATCTCCAGCTTACATCGTCGGTCTTCCGCAGCGTTTCTTTGATCGGATTGTTAACGTGTTCGTTAACTTTCAAGCTCCATAAAAAGTCCACGTGATTGCAGTACGGGTTGTCGATCATCACGGCATCTATCAGTCTTGGGAGTTGAGATTTCAGTCTCATCACGTCCTGCGAGAAAAACGAAAATCACGTCACACGTGCAATCGATAATAATAATATATTCTAAGCGCGAAAACCTCACTTGGACGTCAGCCACTAAATCATTTTTCCCATACATTAATGTAATGGGCACCCGAATTGATGTCAGATCGTACGCAGGAGGTTTGGTCGAGTTATACCGTTCCAAGTTCATAACCGGACCGTAATCGTATCGACCGAAAACGTCTGAGAAGAAACAAAATTATATTAGTTATTACCTATAAGCATTGGGTACATTTCAAAAACGAACGAACGGATAAGATAATGTACGAATTATATATTGTATTCGTATAATTTATATGCATTAATATTACAAAATAATACATTAATTGTACCTATCTACGATTACTTTATTAATGTAAATTAGATATCATTGTTATTGTACACACCTTTCAATTTGATCTGTGCGAAATGTTCGGGAACCATGGACGACGTTCTCGATGGAAAGTGTCCTATGATCAGCGGGATTAATTTCTAAGCAACAAACGAATGCCACACACGTCAAAAACAACAATAACTATATAAACATCGCTTCCTCGTATAATATGCGTACATTGTGTGTACAATGGAAATTACGAAAAAATATAGAACTTTTATTTTATTACGGTATTAAAGTGTTGTGGGTCACTGCCACTGACGAAAAAAATGATTCCTCTTTGGCATATCAGTCTTTGCATCATTTTCCCTCCACAAACGGTTGACGCGAAAAGCATGTTCATCGTCGTCTGCGGCATAACCATTCCGTTCGATATTCTTTGATAAGCGATCTGTGCAAAAAACAATCTATTTAATACTATGTGTATTGTGTATTGTGTATAATAAAATGTAAATGTGAAAAATTGTTACAAAAAGTCAAAAGATGCAAAAAAAAAAAAACCTAAAAAGTAAGCTTTTCCATTATCGTTTGACACTAGCTTTTTCTTTAATCAGTGTGATCTGTTATTTTAATTTATTTTTTTAAAACATAGATTCTCAATCTTTTCTGGTCCATGGACCCTTTTAAAGTACAAAATATAATCATGGACCCCCCATCAGAAAAAAAAAAATAAATAAAATAAAAAATATATATAATCAAATAAATGCAAGCAAGACATTATTATTATTATCTTAAAAACGCTATCGAAACAAATTTATTTCTGGGCGGACCCCCGAGTAACTATCTACGGACCCTCAAGGGGTCCACGGACTCCCGGTTAAGAATCTATGTTTTAAAACTATTCCTTACTAAATATTATCTTACGTTCATCATCCTCGCGTACGGAGCAATGTATTTTATCGGCGACCTTATGTGAGACAAATACGCTACTGGTGCGAGACTTATTTGCGACCGAATTTTGGACTGATATTCAGGTCTTTCCGAAGCCATAATGAAAAACACAGTGGTTCCCATTGAATAACCTATGTAGTGGAGTTGCGAAGCGTTCGTCTGAGTCAAGATATAGTCGATCGCAGCTGGCAAATCGTACGTTCCAATTTCGTGTAAACTGTGTAAAACAAAGACAAGAGAATAGAGTAAAGATTACACAATATATTATGTTTAGTAGCTGGCATACTATATTATTTTTTTTTTATGGTTTAATTTTCGAATGTTAAATCGCCGAAATGCCGAATAAATATGGTAAATAATTTCGAAGTACAGTGTTTGAACTTGTCGAATGAAGGGAGTAATAATATACATATATTGTGTTCTAGTAATCAATAAATTCTCAATATTTTTATTCGTTTTTAATTTTTGATTTCAAGTACCTGAGATGTTGAAAAACGTCGTTTAAAAAAGTATTAAAATATTATGAGTCTTCCGTGATTTATTATGCAATAATATTCTTATAATAAATAGGTACCAACCTGAAATTCCAATAAGCTCTTTTTTTGATGTTCAACAACACGTGTTTTTTACTATAAGTGTTACCACGACTATTTGCCAACCACACGTCGTATCCATCATCGGCGAGCTGCATGGCTATACAATAATTTATTACTTATTAGGAACATTATATTTATCGCATTACTCTGTTTGTCTGTTTATGAAATATGGAATTGTTTTAACGGCGCATTGGACTAGAGCTATATAATATCAAACGAACGCACATCTAGTGATAACTATCGATATTTATATTATAGATATATGTAAAAACAGAATACATGGAAGATTTTGGAGATTGAATCTCTCTTCCTCGAAACGTTACACAAAAATATGTTTATACGTATGATATAATATGACCTTACTGGTCCGATGTACATATCAAACTTATAATTATTATACAAGCGTTTATCTAAAATTGAAAACTAGCTGTATGATACTATGAAAATTAATTATGCTTCTAAAAAATATTCTGTAACCGTCTACAGTGACATAGCCGAAAGGGGTGTTGTAACTTCCTCATTGATTTTTATTTAATTATTTTAATATTTTTAACTATTCAGTAAATTAGCGATCAAAACAAAAGACTTCGGTTAATGCAATCAAGTTCAAATACTTATACATTATTAAAAAAATTACTCTAATTAAAATGCATAATATTTTTAATGACCTTTTTCTCTATGTTCTGGCCCGCTAGATTTTAATTTTCTAAAAAGTGGTTCTTTAGTAATTTTGAGTTGCCCATCCCTGGTATATATATAAAGTCTAAACCTACGCCACTGACCGTCTATCCATTTATTAAAAATTTATCCTCTTTATCAATTTTAAGCTGGCAATTTTCGTAGACGCCTAAAACCCAAATAACCTCGTATTTATTACATACATAGGTATATTAACATGCTCACACACTGCATAGTGACATTAAAATTCTACTGTTTTGATGGTAGTACCGCAGTGTCCGGCCATATTTTAACGCCATAACACCGTCACCGCTGTAGTGTGTGAATGTATGGGGATCTTTAATTACTCACACAGAGATGTGTTGGGGCCACCGAGTACCCATCCAGCCGAACTCGAGAGAAAGGCGTGATGTAAGAATACAGGATGATTTCTAGTGGGTTTCTGTCCGCTTTTACTACTAGGGATTTGATGCAATTCCAGAATGTAACCGTCCTCCGTGATGACATGGTGGATTTCGGCAGCATATCCATTTATTTTGATGATTTCAACCTATACGATACAAACTATTTTAAATAACGGAAATATATGAAGATTTATTATAATTAAAGATAAAATTATATAGTTAAGACTATAATAACATACATGACGTGTTGACATAATTATTTGCAGTCATAAAGATCATATTTTAATTTAATCACAGTTGGTGTCATAAATAGCATTGATATGCTTTGTAAACGCACTAGACTTAAATTCCTTTTAGAACGATTATAATCTATTTGCCATTTAACAAATCATATTTTCTTATTAAAACATTTTTTTTTTTTACTTAGCATGACCAATCTATACGATTCGCACAATATGTCCATATGATGAGAGTAAAAATATAAGATGAAAGGTTTTTTATTAAAGCAGCTACCTATTAATGATTCTTGATTATAGTTGATACTTAAGCATTTAAAAGAACGATAAAATTAGCACTTCAAAATAATCTAGCACATTGCGGTACGAGTTTGAAGTAAAATATAATTACAGGTAGGTTAGGTATAAATTATAGTTTGTACATATAAGTTTTCCAAATTTATTTTCTAAACCCTATGTGAACAAAAATATTCAAGATTATTTCATTATCATTATTCAAAGCACAAATAGGTAAATTAAAATTATGTATTTCACGGATCAAATAGATTTTTTTAAAAAAATGTATTTAACCATCCTATAGAAATTTAACGGCGCTCAATAAATTATAACTCATAAATAATTTGATCTCAGCAGAATAGTAAACTTAAGTTGATAATTCAAGGACAATTTATCATGTATCATATATATATATATACTTAATACAGGTAGGTGCATAAGTTAGGTTTATGTATATTGTATATTAAAAAATAAAAATTTATTAAGTATTTATTTATAATTTTTTTTTATAGACGTTCTTAATTAAATTTTTAAATACAGTGAAATTATCGTTTAATTACAATATTTTAATGACATTACGTGTAATATTATTTATACATACTTGTTATTTTATAAGTATCGATAAGACGATGATACATTTATACGGTAGCCTCTTATTTGACCAGATGATTCATGATTAATTATTAATTTTTTATCGCTTATAATTAGGTTTCGATTTGCACACACGATGTTTGCACACTAACACAAAATAAAATTATAGTCTATTAGACCGCTAAGTAACATGGTTAATAGGGCCAATAAAAATAAAAATGTTTATGTTGATTGTAAAATACAAAAATAATATGTTTAGTGAATATAATGAAATACATAATAAATAAATAAGCAATATTTTGTTATGCCTTTTTACATTCTGAAAATACTAGCTCTAAACGGAATCTTTTCGTAGTGACTTATTAGCTATTGCAATTAGTTATAACTTATAATATATTATTAATTCTGAATTCTGAACGAAAATTCGAAAAACACTTACGGTGGACATGCTGACATTTTTATAAATTTCCCAGGTGTTTGACGAAGTTTCAGCAGTGATGTCTATCGCCTGCGATATGGTGTCAAGCAGCAATAGTAAACCGGCGTATAAAATAATATGCCGAAATAGCGACGACCGGAAAAAACCATTGGACGGCGGATAGCTTACAGTTTTCATTTTAACTATCTGAAGAGTCGTTGCGAAACCGTCTTCTATGACAATATTATTAAAATCTCACAGAGGTGCCGAAAATATTAATTTATAATATAAATTCCACAGAAAAAAATAAAAATAAATAACCGCTTGTACACCGATTGTGGCTGTGAACTTGCTGTCTTATACTACTGCAGAGCGCGCGGTTATCTTATTGAGACGCCAACCTCGTTACTAAGCTGACGACAGCATCTGTACCTATATTATAATACCACAGTCCATCGAATTTTCATAGATCATAGGTATTATAATAATTATATTGTGATCTTAACGCGTAAATCATGGTGAATAACACGAATAATTATATGATATTGCGGTTTTTATCGTATAGTATTGAAAATATTCACGAGTCGTTAAATATTGTCGAAGGTGATTATATGCATTTTATAATATGTGTGCGCGGAAGCGCACAAATGTCGTAAAATTGAAATATCTTTACATTTTATTGAAAATAATTTGTTGTACAATCTTGACGGCTATCCGAAACAAAACAGTACCAATTAGTATTATAGTAGCATAACTCTTGATTTTGTCTTGGCTATAGCACAATAAGCATTTTTGAGTTAACACGGCCGTCGATGGAATCAGATGTATACACTTCTACATAAACGTTTGGTTTAATCAAAAATTTAATTTTAAATGTGTTAAAGAAAAGGTATGAGGTATTGAAATAGACCTGAATGTTGAAATATCATGATAGTCATACAATAATTAAATTATTGTATTTTTTGATTAATATTAACTATAGGTAAATAATTAAAACACCACTGTCTTATCACTTATTGTTTATTTTAATTATTAGTGAATTGAGAGCGAGTGATTTTTTTGATAGACTTTTTTTGATCTTGAAATTAGTATATATTATATATCAATTATTATATTTTAGCCTATTATTAATAAGGCGTAACTGTCAAGAAATTAAAATTATGCCTACGAATTTTAATTTAGATATACCAACATTTATTTTATATGGTCTACGTAGACAATTTGCGAATAGGGTGTATAATCATGGAATATTATCTTAATAGTATATTAAATTTAATAAGTCTGAAATAACTTGTTCGTATTTTTACTTAGGTAAACACATTTAAATTTTCAAAAAATTATTTGTTGAATAATTTACAGTAAAAAATAACGGTTCCCGTTTGAAAAACTGAAAGATATATCATTAAAAAGTACTGTTCAAATAGTACCTACAAAATATCATATGTTTATTTGAAAACATAGTGCTAAAGTAAACTTAATAATTCTGAAAAATTAAATTTTAAATTTTTATAAACTCAGAACTAAATTAACTGTAAAAAAAACCGTATAAAACTGTATAGTATTTAATTGTCTAACTGACACAAACAAGCAGTGCCTCGATTGATCCAATGCTCTTTAGGCCGATCGATTAAAAAGTTTATAAACATCACGAAATTAGTTGAATGACCTGTTGTGGAAAGAATACCTCGACGAGCACTTGTCTTGTAAATAGGCGCGTCGTAATACATTTTTTTCTCAAACTCGGACTAAACATAATACAATTATCAACGTACAGCTAGGTTATTTAACATTTTTTATTCGTATTGTGTACTATACTTTAATTCCCGGTTTGAAACATATAATTGGAACAGTGTCGAAAAGAATTTTTGGATATGACTCATTCAATATTTGTAATTCTCGATCCCATCTAGCTCCTTCTAAAAATAAACCCTACGAAAATAAGTATAAATTAAATATTATCGTCGTTGCTCGCCAGTAACGCCATTAAACTATAGACAATTTGAAAAGTTTAAAGTATAATAGATACGATTTTTATTAGTTGTTTTAAATTATATTATACATTTATGCTATAAAAAATTAAATTATATAAATTATAAATTTCTTTATCATCACGAATTGCGCGTACTGTGCACTATATACACATATGTGAATATATAGTAGATATTTGAAATAATATAAACGATTTAAGTTGTTTTTTAAAATTTGAATTATAATATTGATATCAACAACTCATTTTTCACGTGAAAAGTTACCTCCTAAGTGACGAATTGACATCACGTCACTAAAAAAAAAAGTATTCTAACATAATAAAGTACCTTCACATTGTGAATGAAATTGTATTACTTATAGTAGGTACACATAATATATATTATATATTCTTTTCAATGGCTACGCATACATATAGAAAAAAAAGTTTGTTTTATACAAACAACAATTTCGTTTTGAAAATATGAATATAAAATAATATGATCATCAATCAAGTTTGAAAAAAAAAAACTTTAAATTGTTATTCTTACCCGACAATAGACTCCCTCTTCAAGTTTATCCTTCAATTCTATTTCTGATTCATATATAGTTACTTCAAACTCAAACCCAAGTTTATCAATAGGTATTTTGTTTTTGCGTGAAAAATTCTGAAGTACACCCGATAAGAATGATTGTGTAAAATAAAAACCAGAAAGCCAAAATACTTTAGGCATGCCATTATCCAGCCAGTCTTGTAGAAATTTTAGCCTAGTCGATCATGATTGTTATTTCAATAGTTTAAAAACACAATAAATATAATTTACTAATTTACCTCTGTAATAAATCTGCAACATAACCACCTAATGGTTTCAATGAAGGGTACGAATAATTCATCCAGTTAGCCGGTACTCGTCCGATGACTAGACTCATATTTAATTCTTCTAAATCAGATGACATGACAACAATACCTTTAATAGCTTTTTGTACATCCACTAATGATTTTTTTATAACTGACAATAATCTGTTGAAGCGTATCAACTCCTACGTAGAAAGTAGATTATGATAAATGTGCTACGATTCAGCCAAACAACGATAAAGAATAATTTTTAACAAAATACCACGTATCTGGTACATGATAAAAATTGTATATTATAACGGTATGGCTGTGCATTATACAAACATTATAATATTATACTGTATAGTGTGTACAAATATTATTTTAATAATAAATCAATTTAATACCTGACGTATTACGGTATTCATCGACTGTTCATACGTTGTTGGATATTTTTTTGTCGCTTCAATTATGTCAAATAAATCTGGTATGTTTTTCGCAATATTACTAGCTAGCTCTACTGTTTTTGCATCTGTATCTTTATCACTACCTCCCGTGGCGATTTGAGATTGAGTTAAAATGGCACCATTCAATAACTAAACAAATATATTGATTATAAAAATAAAGGAGTTTATTTAAAAAAAAAAATGTACTTACCAAATGAGTTTCATAATTATTTTTTGTAATATCAGCATTTTCATGTAGTCCGAATACTTCCGGTTGCGGGTTCAGAGGTAAAGATTTTATGTAGTTCAAACATCCGTTTATAGTGGTGTCTTTAGGCGTATAATACAGTCCACTCTCAGAAAAAGTATATCTAATGCACAGGTTAAACGGAACGAATTTAAAATTATAAAAAACAAATAGTTAAAAATGAATTAATAATAATAATAGTCGATGATAAAACTAAAAAACAATTAATTTTATGAGAAAAATATAATAAAATAAGAAAACCAGTTGAAAAACAATAATTTTATTGTATGTACCTAAATATAAATACTATATTGATAATCAAATAAAAATGTTTGTCAAACTTTTATCAATTTAAAAAATTGATTTTTAGCAATTAAATAATAAATATGTATTTGAACTCTCTAATAATATAAAATATTTTAACAAAAATAGAAATTTAATCACATATATTACACATAAAAATAAAATAAACATAAATATCTATTCATTCTATTAAGTTAAAATAATTGTATAAAATTTTAGAAGATTGTGACGATTGTGTTATTGTGCATACTATATACACGTTTATAAAAATTTATTAAGTAAGTATTATATTATTCGATATTATTTTTAATTGATTAAATAAATAAAATGTTAAAAGGACAATCCAAAACTTAAACTTGTAAAACATAAATTTATTCAATTATATTCACTTACGAATTATTATTAATAACATTTGAGTTGAAAAAGATTAATAATAGAGATGTCAATAAACGTCTGTCTTTGTCGTCAGTCACTCGACCTCCATAGTTACATTCGCCAATTAAATAAAGTAATGCTTCGAATGGAATTTCATCATAATCGTTTAAAAACATCTAAGTGTAATTAATTAATTAATTAATTTTTTTCTAATAATTTTTATTATTACTTAGCTTAGTAATATATTGTATACGTATTATAAATATTTTAGTTTATTATTAAATAGTTTAATAATTTTATTATTACATTCAACTGCATCACGCTGATTTGCAAATCTGAGTCATTAAATTCATATGGTATGTTCCAACCAAGAGATCCAAACTTTCGACGTTCTTGAACGATTCCATGGAAAAAACATAATGAAAACAATAATGTTTTCAAACCCGAACGGTTCTTACAACTTAGATAGAATTCTGGATCATTAATAGGGTTAGTTGTATATGAGCGAAATAAATTTGCACCAAGACCTTTCGGAGCTTCGTTTATCATTTTAATTCCTGGTTTTGAATTGAATAAATAATTATAATATTAACAATTTCGATCATTTATGTTTAATTTACCATTTTGCAGTATAGAAACAGGGAAATCGTCAGACGGATAACTTGTAAGCCACAGACGGAATGATTGATGTGTACGACTGGGTATAATATCGTCATTACAAATACGATCAAGTTCTTTCATCCAGCTAACAGCTAAATGACAATTTTGTAACACAACCCATTTACCAGTTTCTATGCCTGATTTTATCATGTTAGCAGCTATTGGACCCTATGATGTTTAAGTTATATTCCAATTATCATACAATTACTGACATAAACAATTATAATATTAATACTTGTCCTTGACCAAGTGATATTGTTATTAAATCAATCGGGTTAATTTTTTTGTATTCGGAAAATTTTATCAAACTCGTCATTGGATCCGTTCCTGCTGATAATATAAAAATCAGTGGACTACAACAGTCCGAATCTTTGAATGAATCCACTAAATCGAAAGATGGAGGTTCGA